AAATTCCTCTTCCGATATTTTTAAGGATTTTGTTTGTAATGGACCACTAGACAAGGTACGAATTCAAGCAATCTGATACATGTTTCTTAACCAGACTTTTACGTAAAACACGATTCTTACAACGAAAATAACTTAAACATACTTTTAACGAAAATATGAACGTTTTTATTACACATTGGTTACGAGGAATTTGAACTACACGCTCACAAGAAACTCAAAGCTCTACGTGAGTCAAATCGCGCACTACAACGGTTTCAGCGAGCTTCTCAATCGAGCAATGTTCATTTCCCACCATGTGTTGTTCAAACTATAAGCAATTTGCTATAGCTGAGCCAAAGCGTCAAGATCGAGGTTGCCAGATTTTTATATCGCAGAGACTGTTATGATAACGTTTAGCGCTCGATGTGAATCACGTAGAGCATTGAGTTTTCATGAGCGGATGGTTTGAATTCACGCATTAAGAACCATTAAATATCTTCGCAAGGTATTGATTTTGGTCATTTTCGTTGAGCGCATCGTGTTTTACGTAAAATTTTGGTTTAGAAACATGTATCAGAATTCAGAATGCTGAAATTCGTACCTTGTCTAGTGGTCCATTAAAAAGTCTAGAAATACCTCCACTGAAAAAAAGTGAAGTTGATTTTAAATTCTGGGTGTAAAAAGAGTGTGCGGGAACTTACAAAATGCTGAATTACCTTCTACAGTAGTTACTTTAGCAATGTCAGTATGTCAGACTACCTGCATGCCGTAGCAGGTAATTCAGCATGTTGTGAGTTCCCGCCCACTTTTTTTAGGTACATCTAGAATGTTAAATGGATTGCATTTTGCAAAAAGGAACCACAAGCATTGCAATGTTGCTAAGGTTGTGCAACTTCTTTTGTCTTGGAGGAAAAACCCGATTATCCATTAATAGTTTCTATTTTACTCGCTAAAAACTGTAAATTTAAGACAAAAATTACCATCTATATTTCATAGTTTTTCACGATTTCCGCAATTTTATTGCAAAAGATGAAGTTGCACAATCTTAGCATCATTGCAATGCTAGTGGTTCCTTTTTGCAAAATGCAATCCAAATCAACTTCACTCTTTTTTCGGTGAAGGAAAAAGATTCGCAACTTTTTCCAAAAATAAATATTTTTTTGAGAGGAAATTCGGCGACATTTAAATGCACTTACGGCGTTTTTACTTAGCACGGCAGAGAAGTCATGCAGGACCAAGCACGAAAGTCACGTGTCATGCGGACGGCAGGCTCTTCTCAGCTCGTAAAATTGTAACGTTAATGGCGAAAAATTACCCACCGAAAGAATAGACCGTAAAACCATCGCAGTGAATTGTGCGCGGCGAGTGTTGTGTTGCAACCAGGTGGATAATTAAAAAATCTGTGCGCTCGTGTTGTTTATTGACTGGAGTAACTGCGAGCCGGCACGCCAGAATTGCGTTATTCTCCATTGTGATTCGTGCGTCGGCATAACGCTGATTTACGAAGTTCGACAACGCTTCCACTGAAGAGGAGCAATCGTAATAAAACGAAAGAGTAAAGGGTGCTAGTTGAGTTTGAGCTTTCAAAGACAACCCGGTGGCGTTTTGCGATATATCGATTGATCGGCCATTTGAACCTATAGAAAAGTATCGATAGACAAGGTGTTCGCAGCGAAAACCTCAATAATCGATTATTTACCACAGCTTCAAATAGGGAAACATCGATAGATCGCAAAGCACGCTACTGAGACAACCCTCATCACTGAGGGCTTTTATATCCCATGCCATTGCGAAGCATGTATGAAGCATTCCTCGAAAGGTCAAGTTTTATGATTGGCTGTGCTGCCGTGCTAAGGAAAAACGTCTTATAAGTCCTCAGGCGTTGCCAAATTTCCCCTGGCAAATCACTAATTTTCAGGAAAATTGTCGAATATTTGTCTACCGATTTCTCAGATAATTTGGTTTGTAATTTGATCTAAAACTTCTGAAAATTTCAAGGAAAAAATTCATAAATTTTCTTGAAAAATAAATATTTTATTGAAGGAAATTTGGCAACTCTCAAATGTTCATGCGGCGTTCATCCTTAGCACGGTACTGTGGGTGAAATGAAAGGGCACCTTGCAACTCATGTCCAAAATACCCAATTCTGAAGTCCAGGCACAACGAGATGAGCATACTTTATTGTGAGCTGATGTTTCTTAAAGTTGACCACTGAATAGGCAATAATTCTAGCTGGAGCGCAATTCAGCTCTGCATTCACGACTGCAAAAATGTCGAAGGAAATCGACAAACCCAGCGTCCATGGAGGCTATTTCCATAGTAATCTTCCGTCAGATTCTTACGGCGCAATGATACAACTATTTGAACTCTCCGGAATGCGTAAGGTATCACGCCGCACTTGAAGGCGTTTTCAAAACAGCCAAGTTCCGATACCTGGATTATCGTTTTGCATACTTCATATTCTTTTGTTATATTCCGTACCACTTGTTTAGTTTAAAATTCTCGTATAAAAACCACCCGTTTGCTAAATACTATTCTAGCTGGAGCGCACTTCAGCAACGCATTCACCACTGCAAAAATGTGAACGGAAATCGAAAAGGCCAGCGTGCATGAAGGCTGTTGAAATTGTAATCTCCCGTCACATTCCTGCGGCGCAATGATACAACTATTTGAACTCTCCGGAATGCGTAAGGTATCACGCCGCATTTGAAGGCGTTTTCAAAACAGCCAAGTTCCGATACCCGGATCATCGTTTTGCATAGTTCATATTATTTTCTTTTCATTTCTAACCACTTGTTTCTTCTTAATTCTCGTATAAAAACCACCCATTTGCTAAATACAATTCTAGCTGAAGCGCACTTCAGCAACGCATTCACCACTGCAAAAATATGAACGGAAATAGAAAAGGCCAGCGTATATGAGGGCTATTCAAATTGTAATCTCCCGTCACATTCTTACGGCGCAATGATACAACTATTTGAACTCTCCGGAATGCGTAAGGTATCACGCTGCATTTGAAGGCGTTTTCAAAACAGCCAAGTTCCGATACCCGGATTATCGTTTGGCATAGTTCATAATTTTAATTTCATCTCTAACCACTTGTTTATTCTTAATCCTCGTATAAAAACCATCCAATTGCTAAATACAATTCTAGCTGAAGCGCACTTAAGCTATGCATTGATGACTGTAAAAATGTGAACGGAAATCGAAAAGGCCAGCATGCATGAAGGCTATTTATTGCAAATTGGAGACCGCAGGCCCTATGAGCCGGTTTTGCTGGAAATAAAGAACTTGTTACGACTTGATAAGAAATATTTAAAAAAAATCAAATTTCATGAAATTAACCAAGCCTGCATAGAACTTCACTTAACCATCTCTGCCGTGCTAAGGAAGAGCGCCGCGTGATTGCCGAATTTCCTTCGACAAATCACGAATTTTCAGGAAAATTTCTAAATATCTGACTTCTGATTTTTCATGGAGGACTTGGTTCGTAATTTGATCTGAATAGTCTGTATGAAAATTTCAAGGAAAAATATTCATTACTGTCTCTTTAATAATTTTTCGGAGACGATAATTTGGCAATATTGGCTCATACGGCGTTTTACTTAGCACGGCACATCTCGGGGTTGATCCCGAGGAGTGTAGTAAGCAGTCACGTTATTATTCAACGAAAAAAGTACTCATTACTCGAGCGGTCACTTCGCACCATCGCGCCTTCAATTTTGCAGATGCAACACGGACATCTATAAAGTACGAATAGTTGTATCTCTGCGCCGTCATCAACTCGCTTACTTTAGCTTGCCAAATTTCCGCATTGCATTGGTTTCGTTTGTCCTATCTGTAGAGGTGCTTCAATTCTATGTGAGCAATACAGCCGAAGATAGCAGTGACGTATTCGGGCCTCATTTTTTGACTTTTCCAACGAACACGAGTGACACCTTGATGACAGCACAGAAGAGCGTTGCAAGTTAACACCTCCTGCCATCGCGCCTTCAATATTTTGCACATGTAACATGGATATCCATCAAGTACGAATAGTTGTATCTCTGCGCCGTCATCGACGCATGTTTGGGTGTCCTTATTTTTGAAATCTGAGCAAAGATAAGGGTAAGTTTGCTTAAAATATGCTACAACGTGTCCAAAATTAATGATCATTTCGAAAAAGAAAGAGAAAAAAAGTCAAAAAAAAATAAATTTCTCTCAAGTGCCCTCTAGGGTCACATCTGAAAATCGGCATTTTGGCGAGTGTTACCTTGTCATGGATTTTTTTTTTGTCGTCAACGGCTGTAAATCTCAAGTAGGGCCAAATTGACACGACTATATCTTTTGGGGGATTTAAACATGGCGGATGAAGAAGGGGAGGATGAGAAAGTTCCAGTATGTTGCCAAAAAGGTGGACATTTCAAAAAAAGTATTGCCTCCTTTCAAAAACAAAGAAATAAAATAGATAATGTTTCAAAAACTTTCAAAATCAATGTCCTCTGTATATAAAAAAAAAAAAATTTGGGCATCAAAGGGTTAACTGATGTAACGACAACATTCTTATCATTGAGGAGAGTTTGAATACCTACGAAAGTGTGATTCTTGCACTGCTGTGCTATGAAAAACCGCTGTATGAACATTCGAAAAATTCAAAATTTCCCCTGATGTAAAAATCATTCCGGAAGAAAGGTACGCATTTTCTTCATTGAAATTTTCAGATCTTTTAGAATAAATTAAATTGCGAATAAAATTCCCTAAAGAATTCAAATACAAATATTCACAATTTGCCTTAATAATTCAAACTTTATCAGAGGAAACTTGCAAACGCCTGAAGTTTCATACAGCTTTCTTCCTCAGCATGTCAGTATACAAAAGCAAATGTGGAATAAATCACTCATCACTTGAGCTGAGATTCATTACATTATGGATAAGGAATTTAATTTTGATTTATGGACACAGCTGAACTGTTTTAGACATGGGTTACCAAGAAAATAAATTGATATGAATATTCTTCCAAACAGTAAAAAAATAAAAGGAGAGCAATTTAAAAATATTCTATTTATTTTTTTTGTTACTGATGATGGGAACATTTTTGGTTTTATCAGTAAGATTTGATGCCTGCTGCAAAAAATTAATCAATGATAAAAAACATTATTAATGAAAAAAAAGAAGAAACGTTTTAATACCAACAATGATAGTTACATCCAACAGACTTAATACACATGGTTTGAAAAGGACAAAAGAAAAATAAGAAAAAATTATGGTGCATTGATTTAGCGGTAACTAAAGAACTCGTGACTTCATAAGAGGACAAGTAGATGCCCTAATTTGGACTAGAGAGAATTTTAGGCTGATGAAACTTATTAAACTTAATTATTACACCTGTTGGTTTGAGCAAAACATTTTAGAGATGAGTATGTACGTTCAAAATTAAGTATTGTGAAAAATAAGTTCATGACACTGAAATCAATGATTTTTAAATACATATTAAGTTACATATTATTTGATTAATGTGGATCGGTGTTTATTGGAGAGACAAGTTCCATCATTTTCACGTTTTAAGATAATGGTATAAAAGAGAGAAAAGGATACAAAAGAGAAAGAACAAATAAAAAAACGATGAAAAAAAGGAAAGACCAAAAAAAAAAAAGATGAAAAAAAGGAAAGACCAAAAAAAAAAAAAAAAGGATTAGGTCCTGACATGACTAGAGACTAATATATTAAAACTACACTGATGTTTGAATGTCTTACAAAAATTATAACTAGACAAAAAAAAGTGGGAACACAGAATGGGAAATGATATGAATGAGAGGACATGGCCTTTGTACAATAATTATTTGCTAGATAGGAGAAAATATTGATACGTCGTGTGAAGTTATGGAAGGTAAATGACAGCCAGTTGATTCACCCTCTGAAAGAAACTATTATGAAAATTTAACAAGATCTCAAAATCTAGTTTCATTTTCTGTCAATCAAACTAAACTGGTCATTTGGGATAGCAATAGCGAACTTATAAAAACTAGCACAGATCATAAATGGCACATATTAAGCATTTTAGTCCTCATCTAGAACGTTCAATAACGGAGGAAGGCAAGGAGCTAGAAAAGAGTTGGAACAGAGAGGATGACGGAAAGAAAGTAGAATGTAAAGCTGGGCTGTAGAATGACTGGAGTATGCAGTTTGAGAACAAGCAATAACAATTTTTTTTTTGACAGAAGTCTTTGTGACAGATCTCATTTTACATTTTATCATCTGTGATTCCTAATTCCAACAGAAAAGACATATTTAGAGCCTTTGGTTTGGAAGCAATTTCCAGTATCAAAAAGTCAATTACGATGGTCAAGTTTCATAGAGAAAGGTTGAGAGGAGAATTTTAGAAAAATAAGAAATGGCAAGTTTTTGAGCCACACACTTGAATTGATATTCATACGCCAATAACATGATCTACGTCCTTTGATTGTACAGCTACATTGTTGATATTTTTTTTAGATGTGATGCATGATTAATTTAGAAACTAGTGGTTTCCAAACTTCCTCTCTTCTAAGTCTTAGCAGACAATCACAAAACTTCGAACGGGAAACCAAAAATTGCTTGAAAGAGTATTTGAAAAAAGAAATGATGATTCTTTTTCATCCTTTTACTCATGCATCTATGCAGTAAAGGAACAACTCCTGATGAGATGTAAGGAACAAAAAAGAAACCTAAAAGCTACAGGACAGAAAATAGCAAGAACAAAAAAATACGAGCAGACTGAACGGATGCACTAAAAAGCAAGCTAAGAGCGGAAAAAAAAGAACTGAAAAGGTGAGGTACACAAAAATATATCCTAATAATTATAGGTCCTTCCTAACCACAGCAATATGTTTACCCCAGATCAAAGTCTAAGCTTTAATCTCTTCAAAATTATTTTAAATTACAAGCAATTTTCAAGGTAACTTATTCCAGATACCCCAGTCTCAAATTATGGTAACACATAACTGACTTTCTTGAACCACGGATAAGGAGGGTTCACCCTTTTCACAAAATATACAAAAGCAAGTCTTGAATTCAACACCTAAAATAAAGTTAGGTTTGAGTCTTAATTAAAATTTAAATGGCACCAAAAATAACCCTGTAAGTAAAAAATGACTAGGTCAAGTCATAGAAACAGAAGAAACAGAGATGTCATTACATCACAAAACTTCATACTGCAGCTGCTGGTTGACTTCCATCAAGCCAATTAATGAGATTATGCTCAGGCATACCAACTGCGGTAAAGTGGTCTTCGAGAAGAGTTTGAGAGAACTTTGTATGCATCGTTTGAGCTTCGCTTTCACGCGCAGAGTCATGGCACATTCTATATAAATCTGGGGGAAAAATTAATACAATAAAAAAATGTCAGTGATATAAATAAAGAAAAAGATGGTAATTAGAACGAGGAAAATATTGATACATCATGCATCATGTAAAAACTCAACCTCCAACTTAGAGACAGTACATCAAAGTCGTCTTGCTCTGTTTACGGGTGCGCGTGACATTCCCCTAAAAATCACTTTCCACTTTCATTGTCCATCGAATCCACACCAAAGAAGTTTGCGCGCTATTAGAATGCAACAAAATATCCACAATTTTGATTCTATAATTGATTCTTATTTTTACAATTAATGCCAACTGAAGACAGCTGATGTTCTATCGCACTCTAACGCGTAAACTTATTTGGCACAGACGCTGGACCTTTTCAACCAGTATTGCAATGATGCTACAAAATTCATGTTACGTAAGTCATTAAGTAGGTTAGGTTTTTGTGAAAAATTATGATGGAAAAAAAGGGGGGGGGGAGAAGGCAGCTGCTGAAAGACAAAAAAGGGATGAAAAAAAATTGCTATATCTTGATTTATTAATTTATATGTCAAAATTAAGTCAAATTATGTTTGAAAACCTTATATAAAATTAAACTAGACACTCCTCGAACCTTTGTAATTCTTAAAAATTACCCTAATCTCTAAATTGGGCTACATCCATCCACTTCTCAGAGCAATTCATGGACAACACTAAAAGTATTGGATAAAAAGTCATTCAAAATTGCTCAACTACAGTACAGAAATGATCCTCTATCCATTTGCAGTATACTAGTGTCAATTTAACTGTTCACAACAAAGTTCTTTTTCGGAATTTATTTTATTTCAACGAGCTGTTTTTCTTTGCAGGGGAAAAAAAGATCTATGAAAGCAGCTATTCCTTTCACACTGCTAAGCAGGTCTGTAAAACAAAATTAAAGCTTTAGATGTTGGGTAGTGAGGAGAGATTACCTTTTAAAATAGCCGAGGCCCATAACTGTACGTGGACATCAGGTATTTTGCTGGCAAGATGCATTGCTGGAGTCACCATATTCATGCTATCTCGGCTATTATGTAATGACAAATAAATATGGCCAAGCAAAACCAAAGAACAAGAGGTAAGTCTGTTCAGACCCTCTGCATCAGCCATGTTTAACATCTCTCTCAAGTACCTCCTGAAAGGAACAACAAAAAGTAGATTAAGAATTGAAAAATGAAATTCATAAAAGGCCTACATTTCTTTGAGTGATAACTACAGGTAAAGGTCATCCTGGAGAAAATAATATTGGGCCTAAGATCAATTTAATTCTCCTACAAGTTCCTGCAAACACAATATTAATTTTGTTAATAATCATTAGACACAAGTTATGATTACATAGATCAGTCAAGGTGATGTCATATCTCTGAATTACAAAGAGACTCACTAAATGATCTGTTCATGATTTCTCTTACTCTCAAGCCCCATTCATCATAGACCTAGATAAGAGAGAAAGAAAAGTAAATAGAAATAATAAAAAAGTTTAGAGTCATTGTTACTATCTTGTCATATTTCTTCGTTTGTTTTGTTCTATCAAATTCGATAATTTTTTTTGATATGATGGCATGAGATACTCACTTTGCTTCATTATAGCGTGCATTGAAAAATGACTGAAAGCCTTGAACATAGTATGCCCCAGCCTGCAAACTGTGGGGTTGTTTTTTCAGCTGTTCTGGATCGATCCTCTCGAATAAAGTTGCAAAATCTTGCTCTCGCCTTCCTCTTAAGTATACTATAGCCAGATTTAGGTACACAAATGTCCATAGGTCTCGATCTTTGGATAACTTTGAACAGATAAATATGAACAACTTAGAAGTACAGAAGAAATGATGAACAATCACACAGAAATCAAGATAAAATCTTAAATTTTGCCCCAAATGAAGGGAAGAAAAATTCTTAGAATTCTTAGAAAAGAAATGTCAAGTGAGATAATAGTATAATCATTTTTGTGTGTGCTCATGTGTGTAAAATCTAGACAATATCCTAGATTTTTTAAACAGATGTTCTTAAAAAGTGCACTGAGACCGGCAAAAACAAACTAATCAACATCAAACTATTTCCAGAATTGAGATTACTACGAGTACACTTACTTGCAGTACAGTTGAAAACTGCGCCTCAGCAGCTTCCATGCAATTCATGGACATTGCGTATAGTCCGAGCAGAGTGTGAAGTTGCGGCCTATGCAGCAACATGAGCCTCTTATTCTTCTGACACAATTGAACTGCTTGGGTCACCTCCCTCAGTGCCTCTGCTTTCTTGCCCATGACAAGTTGACACATAACCATATGCTCTAGCAAGTGTTGTTGAAATACTACCAGTATTGGTTTATCATCTGCGACTAAAACAAAATCGACAATTCAGCAGGTTTTAATGCATGGATTTTGAAATGGATCACTTTAAAATGAACCAATTTATGCATCGTTGATACATGTTTTCTCGTCCGAATTTCAGGTAGAATACATTTGTGCAACAAAAATTATAAACTAACATTTTTTGACATATTAACTGAAACTTCATGCTCATGAAAAAAACCGTAATCTATTTCAAATAAATTGCACTTTGAGAGTAATAGTAGTCAATGTGGTGTAAAAATATGGCAACCTCAACATCCTCTCCTCAGCTCCGCTGTTGCCTTGCTGTTTACACAAACACAGGTCAGGAAAGGAATATTAATCCATAGAGAGTTGTAAGCTCTAAAAATACAAATTTTAAGAACATTTTTTTACCATTTTTACGCTGCCTTTTTATGTGTAAGGGAAAAAAAATCGACTTTGTTCCCAGTAAAGTTTACAGAAAACAAATTAGATTTTTTTTTTTTTTTTTTTTTTTTTTTTTTTTTGAGAAAAGGTGTTGATTTGCACTCTTTTTAAAAAGAAAATATGAATGAAAATTCGTTTTTTCTGAGTTAAGCTGCAGTTAACATCGAATTCTTACTTCTTTTTAGTTGATTATGTCAAACTTCCTTGAAATTTACATTCATCATACAATGGACAGAACTGAAAAAAATAAACTTGCTCAATGTATTCATTCAGAATGGTACAATTCGTCTCTCTCCAAGTGACATTCAAATGCACGATTTTTAATAAAATAATCATTTTAATGATACCTTAAATTTTATTTTTAATGTTATTCTTAGCCGATTTCCTCTTTTTACAAGTTTATTTCTGGATTTTGAAGAATTCTGATAGCAGGAATTTTTTTAGACTAAACATTGAAATTAATCACATTGCATGGTATAAATAAAGCTTCTCCATCTATTTTGTGCTGACACAGTTTCTACAAGTTTGGAAACATAACTCTCGGAGACAATCAAAGACAAAACAAACTTACACTTCAACTTCTCTATTTGTGAGCGAGCTTTGTTGGTATACTCCAGAGCTTTGTCCATGTAACCTGCCTGCATACTATGCATGACTATGATTAAATAGACAACAACATACAGATGACCTTTCGGCATCCACAAAAAAGTATCTCCCGTGTTAGCGCCACAAATTTCTGAAATAAAGAAATATTCTACTTTAAGTTTGAACAAATCATGTAAAGAATGATCAAATTATGCATGTCTAAATAGCAAGAGGAAAAAAACATGTACATATTTTAAGCTGCTGATACTTCCACCTTCGTAAAGGGTTACATTATGAAGAAAAATTATCCTGAAAACGAACTTCAGGATTTTTTTTTTTAAAAAAAAAAGGCAACTTCCTTCCGAAAAATTATGAAAAATCGCAGGAATACCTTTTATTTGTTGCGCATAGAAATGTATGCCAAAAGAAAAAAGAAAAGGCACAATTTTGTATGATTAATGAAGAAATCCAATACTGGTAAGTATGTAGATTAGAGCTTGAAACAAAACTTGCTCATTTTTTTGTGAATAATAACACTTTCATTGCAAATTCAGACATATCTTTCTGTTCGTCATCTTGGACTGGAGCATCAATTATGACCAGCACTTTGAACAGCGCATTTTCATCAAGTTGCTGTAAAATATAGATACTGTCATTGGGTGCTCCAAAAAACTGATTATAGAGCCCTAATTACATATATAACTGACAGGAGGTGCTAGCGTTGCAACAATTTGCCAAGCCTGTGGTTTGAGGTATTTAAATCTCGCATGTTTTTCTACCTTGAAAAGAACATGACTGCAAAAACACGTCCGAAATGAACAAGTTAACTGAAACTATTTTTTTGCATTAGGCATTGGTATTTGAATGAAACATGAATTGTGCTTCAAAGAAACACTTTGGAAAAAAACGTAGGGCTGTACATTACACCCTACTTTGGACTATATTGAGAACGTATTTCATATTTAAGAAGGTGCTCATTACATTGGGCTCAAAACTGCTTACCTTCATCTGTTGGCCAGGACGGAGACATGATTGATAAAATACTCTGTTGAAGTTGCTTCAAACAGGGTTTAACACTCTTGACTTGTCCTGCTGCTAAAAACCAGCATACCTGGAGGAAAAATAGACAAATTGAAAAAAAGTTGAGACATCATAATGTATGAAAAGAGCTGTAAGTGGACTAACCCCTAACTTATGCACTTGCTTTCCATACGACCAACAAATGGGACGACAGTAAAAAAAAAATGCTATTGGTACTGAGCGATATTGGGGACCTTGCCCCTTGAACATGAGTCCACTTTTTCTTCCAAAAACTTAACCTCAATATATGACCCTATAAACAACTATTACACGTACTATTCGACTGTACAATCAATGACATTCTCTGCCCATGCCCGCACTGTCAACTATACAGTCGGAGAATGTACGTGTGATAGCTGCTACTATTTGCATCAGTTAGAGGAGACAATTTGTGACAGTGACACTGGGGCACTATGATGACATCGTGCGCCAGCTCTGGCTTTCATGGACAGTACTATGTTGTTGCATATTGCACGGTTGTAAAATTTTATCGGCACTATACACAAATTACATAAACTTAAAACTTTTTTGGCAAAACCGATTAATATCACTTACTTATTTTCTATTCACGATGGCCATTTCGGGCGGGCAGGCCGCCCATCTTCAGGTGACTGCCTTATTGTTGAAAAGTTCGAAAATCCGGCGTGATAGCCGCGCTGGCGCAGTTATTATCACGGCTCTCGTCCTCTCGATCAGCTAATTTCTTATCAGATGTTTTCCCTACATTCTTCTTGTATGAACTGAGTAAGATTTTATGGACAGCTTTTGTTTGAACTAAAAACAACTGAGCCCTTGAGACAGGGAAGACATTGTAGCCTCTCTGATAGCCTTCAAAATGGTTTAGGATGTAAGCCGAAGTCTATGGAATGGGACAGAAATCTGGGAGATGATTTTACTGAAAGGAGAAATAGGTACCTGCAAAACAAGAAAGAAAACACGAAGGTATTCTTTTTGGTTCTGGTTTCCTTGCCAATTGTCAATCAGCATTCCCGACTGGACCAACAGTGGATTCACATCATTTAACTTCTTTTCTGCAAGGAGCAGCTGAAAAAAAAAAAATGAGAATGAATTTGACCAGTGCTAAAAATATAAATTAAATCAAGAAAGTAAAATTCAAAAGATTGAGACATGTTTGGTCAATTTCCAAAAATGATGGCCAAATGCGAGAAATGCATAAGTCAATTACAATTTCTAAAAATCTCCAATTGGGTATTTTTATTTTCTTGAGGGAAAACTAATCATTTGTTCTTGCAATTTTGAGTGATTTTTTTGGATAAGTGAAGAAAATTCACAAAAAATTTCAATTGAAACTGTTGGTTTGTTTTCCTTTGAACAAATAAAACAAGAGCAGATACTTACAACCTTCCGATCTGCAATACACATTTTCCAAATTTGTCCGTTAAGGTTTAGCTTCCATTTCAGTAATTTCCTAGTAAAGGAAATTCAATGAAGCCTTCTCTGCATTCCTTTAGACATGACTTTACGTGTAACCTTTTTACATATTATTACGTAAAGCTTCTCAACAATTACTAAATGTATATTAACGAGGACAAGAACCATTATTTCCTCACTAATGAGTTGAATTTGGAAAATTGTAATACGTTCATTTTCTTTTGCATGGGATGATAAAAGGGGTACATATATTGACAGTGAAACGGACAAATCATGTATCTTGTTTGCAGTGCTTATTTTAAGTTCTCTGCTGTAGCATTTTTTATGGGAAAAAAAATCAATACGATTTCTGGAAGCTTTCACAGGATTTCCTTGCACAGAGAGGAAAAATCATGGCAGTTTTTAAGAACTGCCGATGAGTAATTTTTCATTAAAAAAATTAAATATGAAAGGAAGTCTACGACGTCGCAAATCGAGATACATGGTTTGGAAAATTCCAGCTATAGTAGTTCTCATTTTCATATGCTGTCTTGTGATCCATTGCAGAAACCGAGAGAGCATTACAGCATTCTCTACCTTATTACATTTTTTTACTATACTCCATGGATTTTTACTAATTCAAAACAATTTTTCAGAACTACAAGGCATCAAGGAAATAACGAATAGTTTCATTATTCTCTGAAAAATTTATTTTGCATTAAAAAACTAGCTTTACTCAATTCAAGGACATCTTACCATACACCTGCTCAATAGGAACAAAATTCTTGTGTAATGAGCCGATGAAATGTGGGCATAATCAACACCAACTCCTAACAAACTGCAAGCAACCTCATAATTCTTTTCAGTGGCATGGATTTGCTGAAATAAGTAAAAATACATTCATTACGTTCTTGGTAAAAAAAACAGATGAAAGGCAATTAAGGAATTTCCTCACTTCCTTGAGAAAAGCAGGAGAGTTTGGCACAGGAGTGCGGAAAGTTCTTTGCCTTTACATTGCTATCCACAGAAGACTAAATGCTTTTTCATTTTCTTCGTACTTCACCATTTTTTTGCATAAAATAATGCGCTACACAGTTTCCTTTGCAAAAATTAATGGGCTTAGCAACCTCACCTGGTTTCCTTCTAAAAAATAATGTGTCTAATAGTTTCCTTAACAAAACGTAACGCATTCATAAAAAAATAAGACTAAACTTTAAGAAAGAAAAATCCCCAATGCCCTTTATCTCAATTTTTCTCTTAGCCATGGCTTTACTTTTCTTTCAAGATCCAATGATTGAGCACTTTCTACATTCATGATTTGGCATGTACTTGAGTGATAATAAATGCAATTTTGAATGGAAGGCTGGATGAAACACAAAAAGAGACTTAATAGTGCTATTGCCAAACATTAGAGACTTCAGTGGCAGAATCAATTTTGACAGAGTGGCAAAGTGACCGAGTGCCCTATGAAAGTAGCTTGGTGATACATAATAAATTAAAGCAAAAATAAACTTACAGCCAGCTGAAATATTAGTCGACAATGCCAATAAATGCAATGTTGGGAAAGTTCAATGGCTTTGCGAAGAATGGGTTTTGATAAGTGTGATTGATTCTGTTGCTCATAAAGGTCTGCTAGTATGCTGGCTGCTTCAAACTTCACATCGTCAAATGCATTGATACTCTGAGATGAAAACCACTGAAACAATCAATAATAATAATAATAATAATAATAAAAAAAAAAAAAAAAAAAAAAAAAAAAAAAATTGAGACCTAGATTTTCTAAGTAAATTACAGAAGTGTGGAATACCTAATATTTGTTGGAGTTGATGAATTCCTCGGAAAAATTTTCTAATTAATGTCACATCTAGTTTTAGAGGTTTATTTTGGCTACCTTTGGATAGAGGTTTTAGAACTTGTGCTAGATGGGTCAGAGAACTGATATCTAAACATGTTCGTTGATCAAAAGTAAACAACCATATAAACTTATACGATGAGAGGTCATATGCTAGTTATTGATTTGTTTCCTTCTTGCTTGATTCTTTCAGAATGAATTATAAAATGCATATTTAATATTCGATAGACTCATTGCAGTTTAGTGTAAATGTAACTGATTGTAAGATTATTATTTTTCATCGATGACTAACTTGATGACTACCCTTACAGCAGGTAAGACAAAGCAGCATCTGAGAAACAGGGGTTGAATCGGACAGGGAAACTCGAGTTGGTGACTCCTTTTACCTTGAGTATATCTGAGCGATGAGTACCTAATAGAATCATAAGGTGCATTGTCGAAGTAAACTTATTCGATTTCATTTGTTTTTTTATGCTTGTAAACGCAACTCAATAATCCCATCTACATCCGAGATCTTTAGGCATTTGGTAGAAATGTTGGACTTTCATATGTTGTCACCTTCCGGCTAAAATATCAGAAGCGCCATGCGACGTTTAAATATTTACGCTGTCGTTTCAATTCTTTACAGAGATTGTCTGTTGAATCTGTTTCAAAATTTGACTGAATTGTGTCTGCAGCACAGAGAAAATTCGGTGAAATTTTCGGACAGTTTTGTTGAACAACTTCTCTGTAAAATGGAAAATGACAGTGGAAATTTTTTAACATTGCATGGCGCTTGTGATACGTTGGCTGGAAGGTAACGATGTAAGCACACCAGTCATCAGGTAATTCTAACGGAGTTCAACATCGAAAACAGTTTGGAATCAGGTAATTCCCCTCCCAAACGGTCCCAAACGGACTTCACTTTACTTTGAAAATGTATTAAAAATGATGCATGAACAAAGTGGGCGATGCAGAAAGCAGGGAACTCACGGCTTGCTCAAGATGATGTCGGGCTAGATCGATGTTCTTCGTGTAAATGAGTAGAATGTTGCCGAGCTGGAGGTGAGTGCGGGCCTCAACTCTGACTGGTGGTTTAAATGAAAATACAGCTTGTAGACACTGTATAGTTAATTTAATATTAGGAGGTTCTGATCTCCGAAAATTTTCTGCTAATCCTAGCAGTGATAAGTACCAAGCGTCCTGAGAAGACGCTTTGGACGACGCCATGACTAGTAAACACTGTACTCCTTGAGTTTCACATAACTATAAGAGCTTGAATCAAAATTTTTGCACTACGTAGACTGACATTGCTAATTACAACTTATATGTACCACGATGGAATTGAATGAAACGTCGGCGAAAAGATAAGATAACAGAGCCGTCAGCGAAATCAAAATAAACAAATCGTAGACATTTTACAATGATGCACTTGTGTTGGAGTGAAATGAATTTATGAAATGATTTGGAATGGAGGTGGCAAAACCAAAACGAGTTTGTTTCCGGCTTGCTTCGCCTTTTTTACTTATACTCAAGAAAACTTAAGATGTTTGATTCTAGAAATTTACATTTATGGAAGATCATTCCGGTAGGCTGAAAATCTTTAAAATTGCAACTAAACCCAAATTTCGCTCTGGCAAAGCGGCGCAGCCTGGTACTCAAACCGCGGCTCTTTTGAACTGGGGACAGTGGATTTTGGATTGTGTTCTGGCGATGATAGTTGAATTTTTAATTTCTACCGACTTATGGGTGCTAAAGTAAACGGCGATTTGAAGAGGATATTTTTCAGCGTTTAAAGATTCCAGGGATAGGGATAGGGATTAGCCAATGATGGCTAACCCGGGTCAAAAGTGACTGGGAGCTTGTTAAAAACACGTGTCCCGCGCGTTGTATGGGGCTGGTACAATGGTGAAGACAAGCCACCGATATAAGTCTACAAAAACATCCCATGAACAAAATCAGACATTCGATTGAAAAAAAAAAAAAAAATAAATTAATGAAAAAGTCGAGTGTTGACACAGCAAAATATAGAATAGGTATTCGTGTAGTCTGGCCTCGTTTTTTACTTTTCTTCCGAATCCGCGCCACACCGCATTGGCAGCCCAGAGCGGAGCATTGCGAGTTTACGCCTCGATCGCCTCGCGCCTTCAATTTTTCAGAAGCAACGCGGACATCCACCGTGTACGAATAGTTGTATCTTTGCGCCGTCATTAACGAGCATCCTTTCCTATGCCCTATTTCAATATTGCGTTGGTTCTCTTGCTTGGTATTATTTGAGGTGGTAGCTGAAGGGCTACGTAAGGAACCGACGTGAACCAATCAATATCGATTCGATCAAGAAATAATAATACATGAAAAAGAAAAAAAAAAGAAAGAAAGAAAAAAACAGTTAAGTTTTTATTTCAAGATTGAATCAAGTCGCGATCGAAACAATCTCGGTCCGTCGCCCCAGTAAATTCAAGTAAATTACTCAATCAATGAAGTTAGCATTGTTATAATTATTATTTATTTGATTTATTGCAAACCATCTAGATCCGTGACTTTCACGGGCTTTTCGCCGGTAATAAGCATAGGGAAAAAAGGGTTTCAGGACATTTTGTCAACAATTTTTTGTCCGCGCACCTTCTTTGTCCAGTAGTTTACGCCCACACGTAAAATAAGCAACAGTGACTTGGTCCAAGCGTTATATTTTAGTCGGCATGTAAAATTATATTGACAAATTGGAAATGAGAAATTGAGAGAGAAGGATGTGTTGTTATGGTTGCTCATTTTCTAGATGAAATGTTATTACTTTCTCCTTTTGCATCATCTTTTTAAATTGTCATTGGTGAATATTTGGTTTTATTTTTATCCTTGAAATATTGAATGCACAATATACCTTATATATGTATACATACTTTTTTTTTTACTTTTTTCTACTTTTTCTTTAGGAAATTATTACTTCATTTTTAAAAACATTTATATTTTTAAAACGTGACAAATATTCGTAAGACCTTTTCCAAGCGACATTAATCTCAATGAGCCGGAGTTGTGCCAACAGAAACGGCAAGAATGAATAAAAGAGGGGAAAAACAAAGAAGCACGCAATCTTTAGTTTTAGCCCATTTGTACTTCGATCCTTTAGAGTCAAATACGTCAAATTTTGAGCGTTTCCTTGCGCGTGCACCTCGCTGCAGCACAATAAAAGCACAAAATGTAAAAGAAAAAATTAAAGTGCTTTGGAAATAATTAAATTTGACACGGAACCACCAATATTTAAAAAACACACATTATATTATTATTCTCATTTGATAAATTGATACATATTTTCCCCATCAATTTAAATGAGAATAATCAATGCAGAGTGTGCTAACATTTCAAAAAAGAGTTTTCAAATTGTGAGTTAAAAAAAACTCCTACTATGCGAGTATAAATATTAAAGCCGAACAGAGCGGAGCGGCGTGCTGCCAGCGCGAGAGGCTCTCTGGCGCCTACAAACCTAAGTGGATACTTCACGCATTGCACAATGCTTGAAGTATCCACTTAGGTTTGTAGGCGCCAATGCGCGTTTCGCGCTGGCCGCCCGCCCGCCCGCCGTGCGGCGCGGCGCGGCGGCGCCTGAAGCAACTATTTCACAACAGAGGTGTTGCACAGTATTATACAAAATTGAACGTATTAAGAGTGACAGTCATCCTTTAAAAGTATAGATCTTTCCTCGCCAAATAAATCAAGATACTTATCGTACACAGGAAAAATCTAAGAGCCTTTAGCTGAGGCAAATATAGAGGTTTATCCGGTTCAGGTATAAGAAGGTGGGAATTTCTTGAAAGATAATTAAGTCCTGTTACACCAAAGAGGTTTAGAGAGTTTTGGTGAATTTTGTCTCATGGAATTGACGCTCCCGTATTATATATTATTCTCCGTTGGACCAAACAGACAAAACAAAAAAACAAGCAAACCCTCATTATTTCAAGACATTATATATTTTCATCCAAAAACGTCGTGAGCAATTGTCGTTTGTATTTACATGTGGGCCAATTAACTTTGAGTCTCAACTGGCACGTGGACCAAAACTCCCGTGCCGAAAAAACGCGTGGGCGTAAATTACTGGAAAAACAGGTGCGCGGACAAAAAATTGTTGACGACCTAGTCTCGGAGAGTTCTGAGAATTGAATCGGCTGGGGCAAGTCTGCGAGGTTAGTAAGATTGAAGGGATGATATATTTTGAAGATCCCAACTTCTGGGTGGATCTGAATCTGCCCACTCTTGAAATGGACCGATTTAAATACACATCCAAACCAAGCGGGCAGCCTGGAGCGGTGTAGAGCTGCCCAAAAATTGAGATCTGCCCAACAGTATAATATTAAAAATTATTTTCAGCTTTACTCCCGTGGTTGCACAGAGGGAAAAGCGAATAACGATAGTTTTTCAAAGTGTGGACGGAGGCATGAGAATAAAATTAAACATAAATAAAAAGGATATGTGTTTCTAAAAGTTTATTTGAAAATCAAAACAACTGCTTGCACGTGTCGTTGTAATGGATATTTGTCAACGTAACAACATCATTTTTTTTAAACAGAAGAAACATAGCTATATAGGAATTCAATCTCAAAATTCAGTGCGGATTTATATCCGCAAACATGGATCATGGGGGAAAAGGCTAAAGGCTCATACGGCGTTTTTACTTAGCACGGCATTATGCCGTTCAGTGCAACAACTCTCATTACTTGGATCTACGCATTTAACTAGTGTGTGACTGCATCAGATGTTGCCTCATTTCCCTTCATGTCTCAATTTTTAAATAGAAAATGAGGACAGATTCGGGCTGGAAATTTTGTAGGTACACCTTTTATTATAATTCACGAGAAATTCGTAGGACGTTTCCGGAAATCATGTCTTCAAATAACTTTGTTGGTTAAAAACAACATGAGGGGAAATTAAGCAATATAAAATTCCGTTATAGGCTTTCTCTCTCTACGGCGAATCCAGGATAGATGATTCCAGGTATCTATGTCCCAAGACAAGTGCTCGACCTGAATTATCCAAGAAATAAAATAAATTGACAGCCGATCACGTTTTTATTTTCGTTCGATTTCATGTCTATCGAATACATACCCTGTCGTTACATGCAGACTACCTATCATACTCTTTTTTTAACTGAACAATTCGCCTTCTGTTACGTCTGCAGCAATTGTTGTTAAGAATGTGTTGTGCGTGCTGATTTCAGCCCATTACATACTCGACTCTCTGAAGGCGTTTAATGTGCGGAAGTAGAGCACCCTGTTGAAGAACAACATACGCGAGATTGAATGAATTGCTCCATCATCCCCACTTCGTTCGTTCTCCGATAGACTGCGCTACTTGTGCACATAAAACGCCTTCAGAGAGTCGAGTATGTAATGAGCTGAAATCAGCACGCACAACATATTCGTAACAACAATTGCTGCAGACGCAGCAGAAGGCGAATTGTTCAGTTTAAAAAAAAAGAGTATAATAGGTTGTCTGCATGCGACGAGATGTGATGTATTATTCGATCGACATGAATCGAACGAAAAACTCAAACGTGAACCGATCAACACCGATTCAATGGACAATTAAATAAAAAAGCGGATCAAAATCAGTAGTAGCCTTGCATTTAAAATTCCACTACTTGCAATTAAACTTGCCTTACTCGCATTTACTATAAAAAAATCAAATTGCGATATCTCGGAATTAGGATCAGCCAAGATTTCGATTTTTCGCGATTTTGAGTCCACACGTACCATAGACTCACCACCTGCAACCTGTTTTTGGTACAAACTCGTCCCATTTTTTTTGCTTCAAGACCACTGTGTAGTGTTGACTGACTCAATATTTTTCCCAACCTCGAAAGTGAGATTTTCCCCGGAACAAATCCTATGAAACGTCCCGTGGAGACAGGGTGTTACAAAATGCCAAACACTCCAGTTTCACCATAGAGTACATAGAGTCGTAATGTAATTGGGAGAGCTGGCGCCACTTTTAAGCATTTTCCATGTCCCGAATTCCGAGACTCCTGTGTGACGCCGGGTCACTTTTTCGATACATAATCGATTGTTTGCGATACACGGGTACCCGGCCATCCGATGACAACAACAGCAACAACAACAAAGGAGATAGGAATTACCACGTATTCCACACCGCCATTTTGGATCGAAAATGTATCGAAAAAGCGACCCGATTTCGGCGCACACCGGGCTCGGAATTCGTCGAGCAGAACATGGCGCCAGCTCTCCCATTTACATTACGACTCTATGTACTCTATGAGTTTCACAATCCTGACGTCTGACTCTTTCCCGGTTCGTAAAAAGTATATGGAGCGAAAGGGAACGAGGGATTTTTCTAGATGCGGATGTGGAAAGTGGAGATGAAGTCTGGAGCTCGGAGGATGACCTGCTCGAATTCCATGTAGGACAGTTTCCCGTCACCGTCCACGTCTGCCTCCTCGATGACCTTTTCGGCCACTTGGGCTATCTCCTCCGCGTTCAGCTCGTTTCGCGTCAACAATTTCGTCGCCTCCTCCAAATCCCGCACGCCGATGTAGTCGTCACCGTCAAAATCTGCAACAAATCGGTTTGAGGCTAATTACCGCGAAACTGAAGCTGCATGGAAATGGCTTAAGGGCTTCCTATCTTTTCCGCACAAAGTACACGTGTGGTAATTTTTTCGATTATCGTTGCCGCACAAAATCTTCGCACAAATAATTTTCTGTAGTATATGGCAACGTCGAGAAAATTATGAGAAATATATTTAAGAAAAATGAGTGAACAAAGATTGAAAAAATTATTTCTTACCTTACTCAGCAGCCCAATAGGGATCGTCAGGGTCCAGATTTTGGTCCGTGAATTTTCCATTATTTTCATCTGCGTGCTTATACTTCAACTCCTTCTTAATTCTTGCTATTTCTTTCAGAAATGTTTGATGTAATTTGTGCGAAAATGATTTTTTGCGGCAACGATAGTCGGAAAATTACCATAAATGTACTTTGTGCGGAAAAGTTAGTCTGCCGGCTTAAGTGCGAATCTCCGTGCTACCGTGCCATAGAGTACACAGAGTAAGAGTTGTAATGTAAATGAGAGAGCTGACGCCATGTTCTGGTCGACGAGTTCCGAGTCCGGTGTGCGCCGAGCTTCGGGTCACTTTTTCGATACATGTTCGATCCAAAACGGCGGTGTGGAACACGTAGTAATTCCTATTTTCTTTGTTTACATCGGATGGTCGGGTCCTGGAGTATCGAAAAAAATTGATTAGGTATCGAAAAAGTGACCCGGCTTGAACAAGAGTCACGGAATTCGGGACCTGGAAAATGCTTTAAAGTGGCGCCAGCTCACCCACTTACATTACGACTCTATGTACTCTATGTGCCAGGCTAGAGAAGTTTCCATGAGACGTAGTCAAATTTTTAAAGGTGGATCACGAATTTCCGGGAAAATTTGTAAATATTTTTCTTCTGATTTTTCAAATATTTTTTTTTTTGTAATTTTATCGAAAGTATCTGAAAATTTCAAGGAAAAATATTCATAACTTTCGTCAAAAATAAATATTTTTTGGGAGAAAATTTGGCAATATTCGGATGTTCATACGGCGTTTTCCCTTAGCATAGCAGCGAGGCGATGTTTCAAAATTACTTCCCCTGTTTTATTTTTCGAAGGAAAATGAGCCGATTAAATAGCTCGAAATTTTTACAGAATATTGTGCTAACAGGGAAAAAAATTAGGGAAGCTCTCAAAAATCACGTCGACTATTTTGCCAGAGAAAAAATAAAATGATAGGAAATGAAGAAAGGCATTCAACTTTCTCCTTAAATATGCTAGACTAGACTGGAGTTAGACGCAGGAAACACTGCTTAAACTAACTGGAATCTGTCTTCAATCGAGAGCAAAAATCTTAATTTACTAGTCACGAATCTAAAATAATCCTCCATATCGGGGGCAAACCTACCGTAAATTTTAAAAGCGTAATAAACTTTTATATTCCTCGGCGCTTGCTCGCTGAAAACCGATAGCATGTCCAGGAAGTCCTCGAAGGTTAGATCCCGGATCCCATCGTCTGTAAAAACTTCGCAAATTCGACGACGAAATGGGTTCTCCTGGAACCATAATTGTGAAAAAAACCATATAATTACAGTTTAGAAGAGAGGCTTTAAGGACTTTTTAAATCCAACTGCATGTAAACATGATTTAGTCCATGCATGCCGGCCAATAATTTGACTATCAGCACTCGGCCGAGATAAAAATGAAAATATTTTGGACAAATCACTCTAAAATATGAAATATGAAAAGTGATACAAAAATGAGTACTTTTTCACTATGTTGTAGCATACTGCACAAGTCATCAGTCACAGCAAGTCAGTCATACAAGTAAGTTATCTAACTATAATCGATTTTCGAAAAAGTTTAATCTGTATAGAAAATAAGAGTACTTTTTCCACAACCTACAACTCAAAAAAGTTTTTGGTTAAAAAAAAGTGATTTTCAGAAAAAATATTTTCTAATATGTTTGATGTGGTATGTCTTCGGTAAAATCTTTGTCAAGTTGTGATACGTGGCTTTTACTATATTCACAAGAATGAACCAAACCCATTAAATCCTGTTATTTAAGATATTGTAGAATGTTTTCTGTCGAATACTCAAATTCCATATTTTACTATACTCGTTGGAAAAAAATTGTTCTTGGAAAAAGTTACCATTTAGAACCAAGGTTCCTTTTCATGCAGCTAAAGAAAAGAAAAAATAATGGCATGAATCCATGTATCTATGAAATCGCAATTTTCGTACAATGCTGTAAAGGGGCGTTTTTCTTGAGACATTTATAATTTATTCAACACTTCATGGTTCATCGTAATTTAGTTCAAACAGTTACTTGTTTAATCAACATATCATATCAAACGCACGCTCTAAGAACAATTCTTTCTACGAATAATAAGATCAAAAATATCACATGTATCGATGCCGTAACTGGTAAACCTGCACAAGGAACAACTTGATCTGTTTTCTGGATGACGGTGCCAATATAGTTGCCTATCTACATTTTGAAGGCGCCGCTGATTCGAGAAACGAAACAACTCTGCCACGAACTGGCTTCAAGAGATCGGCTATCTTGCTCATTGTATGTAAGTACTGCACTGAAAAAGAGTGCATCAAAAGATCATTTTGTGGAATATTTCGGTTTTTTCGTGATACACCAGCAAACTGAATGGAAATCTTTAATACCTTAACCCTTGGATGCCCAAAAATTCTTAATTTATCGCTAGGTTCTAAGACGGGTCGAACTGACCCGTATTTAAATACATTGATTTTGATAGTTTTTGAAGTACTATTTATGTCATTTCTACGTTTTTAAAGGAGGAAATTACGTTTCTTTAAACGTTAACCTTTCCACTTGTGCACTGGCTCTTTATCACCTCCCCTATATCCTCCATATCCGATGTCCAAATCGCGAGACTACGTATTTCCATTGCGGTCCTTCAAAACCTCTGTTCCTTTTTAATTTTTTCGAAGAGAAATAAGTCAAGTATATAGCTTGGAATTTCTACGGAATATTCTACAGATAGAGAAGAAAAATCGAGGAAGTTTTCAAGAAAATATATTGACTGGTTTTCCAAAAAAAAAAAAAAAAAAAAAAAAAAAAAAAAAAAAACTGAAGTATGATAGGAAGTTTGTGACGTCGCAAACAGAGATACGAGATTTCGCACTTTGGCCATCGATATATAAATCCGCCAGAAGAGATAGTTGGGCTCGGGTCAATTTAACTTGCGGCTACAGGGATTACTAAAGGTAGTCATCTAAGGGAAAAAAAATCCTTGACACGACCCAACTCTCGCCAAAATAATAACTTTTAGTCGTGCGTCCTTTAGGGAGTCTGAGAGACATTTAACATGTTTTTACTTTTATTTCAAAATGATTGTTGATTTTGACACATCTTAGTATATTTTGAGCAAAAACCTTAGCTTTTATAAAATTTCAAAAATAAGAGGCACCTCAACGCGCATTGATGACAGAGCAGAGATATAACCAGTCGCGCTTGATGGATGTGCAAGTTGCATTGGCAAAATCGGATGCGTCAGGCGTTCACTCGAAATGCGCCTAGTGAGGTGTCGCTTAGGAAAAGTTAAAAAAACGAGGCTGGATTGCGTCTTTTCTATCTTTGATATGTTGCTCACGTGGCCTTTGAGGCACCACTACAAAAGTAAGAGAACCGAAAACAACATAACATCGAAATAGAGCTAGGGAAAGGATGCGCGTTGATGACGGCGCAGAGATACAACTATTCGTACTTGATGGATGACCGTGTTGTATCTGAAAAATTGAAGGCGCCATGGCGCAAGGCGTGAACTTTCAATGCTCCACTCTATTCTGCTAGTGAGGGGGCGCTCGGATTCGGAAGAAAAGCGTGAAAACGAGGCCGGAATACATCTCTTCTATCTTTTTCCTGTGTTGACACCAAGACCAATCCACACAGGTCAGTCATTGCGCATCTTTTTGAAAGCCACTTCCCCGCCCGGCCCTAACTCGGCTGCACTCAATAGTACGTCACAATGGGTGCTCCCATAAGAAATACATTGCAAGCACTCAATAGTACGTCACTGCGCAGTAGAGTACCAAAACTCGTCCACCGGAATGACTGACCTGTGTGGATTGGTCTTGGTCGACACTCAATTTTTTTTAAATTGGATGTCTGATTCTTTTTTTTTGTAGACTCGTCTCTGAGATTTGTATAAGTATGTACCAGCCTTATATAATCTGCGAGGCACGTGTTTTCAGCAAGCCTCCGGTCATCTTGACCCGGCTTGGGCATCTAAAGGTCCAGTTACACGATCAAATTGAGCCATTAAACTGGAGCTCTGATTGGTGGGAAAAGACCTGAGGTGAGGATGCGACCGATGAGAGGCCCAATTTGATGACTCAATTTGATCGTGTAACTGGACCTTAAGAGTTAACTTTTCCTTTTTCCCTTTCGAAAGAAGAGTCCCTCAGACTTCAGTGCGAGATGATACCACCATGATACGAAGCGATGGTCTACCTTTAGATGAGAATGCGGTGGCAACTTTGATGAACATACACATTAATTTGGTCCTTTGATATCTGTCAAGCATGAGATATCTAAGATTTTGGTATTATCTTTGCCGTTTCTTTGTTTTTTTCGAATGAAATAGCATCTTTGCATTATACTTTCCAATCCTACGAATGTCCTTGAAAGAAACGAATTTATTTGAAACTTGCAATGAAATATTTGTGGCTAAAATGCTTGATTTTTCGTTTTTATTTTTTATTTCTCCAAGTCATATGATGTAAAAGAATACACCGTCACTTTACAACACTTGTATTTACCCTTCAAGTTTCAACTTAGTCAAGAATATTTGACTTGAAATGCAAACATGTTTTTTTTCTTCTCTTCAAACAAGAGGGATAGAACTGATAAAATAACTCAGTGAAAGGCGGACATTTTGAAACATGACAACCGCAATAGTTTTTTTTTTCAATTTTTAAATACATTTTTGGTTTGACAATTGGTAAAAAGCAACTTTTTTGGTGTGTCTGGGATGTTTTGCACATTTTTAAAGTATCAATGTGGGGATTCAGGCTTCTTTAAAAAGTAACATGGACGGATCAAAGTCGTTGCAATGGCGTTGTGTGCTTTACGATTTATCGATTGATCTGCCATTTAACCCTATGGAAAAGGATCGATATGTTTATCGCAACGAACACCTCAATAGTCGATTCCGCACCATAGCTTCTAACGGGAAAATATCGATCATCGACCATTCACGCCTGCCACTGGTCGGGTGAACCAATGAAACTCTTTTTGGAACCATGCCAATGATTTTCATGAAGAACATGGCTTGCAAAGCACTCTCTGTGCAACTTCATTAGCGCACTTGCCACAATTGATTCTTTACGTTAAGGGCAGAGGTTTAGAAGTTTATTTCACTTGGAACAGAACCAACGGATTCACTTTTTATCACTGTTTAAAACCGCCTTGATAGCGAAGCGAGCAGTAAGTTCATCTCTGTATGAGTCATGGTTAGCATGTGCTTTATGTGCATCGAGGTTCATCCCAGGATGCACATACTGCTCTCTTCCCTATCACAGCAGAAAATTGCATTAAACTTTCGATTAACATTCTTCGCATCAGTTTAGCACTTCTGTGGTAGGGGAAAACGCCGTAAGTCAATTCGAATATGCCAAATTTCCCCCATGTAATATTTGTTTTTCAAGGAAAGTCATAAATATTTTTCTTTGAAATTTTCAGATACTTGAAGTCAAATTGAGAATAAAATCCTACTTAACACTGAAAAAAATTCACAATGAATTTTTTCAAACATTTGTATTTTTATAACAGAAATTTGGCGACAACCGAAGGAGCATACGTCGTTTGTCATAAATAACAATTTGATGGAAACTAGATTTCGACAATTTTGGTCGTTACTGCTCTATGAAGCAGAATTTACCTGTTAGAAATGTTCGATGCCCATAGACGCGTTCATACTTTTTCCATGGCTAAGTTCAGGCAGTAATGAATACGTATTCATTTTTTCCTTCAAAATACTTAAAAAAACAAGATATTAGCTCTTATCGTTCCGTCCAACGCGTATAGTTTTTCCTGGTTCCCTGTTCTGTTCCGGTGGCATTGTGTCTACGCTAATCTCTCCACGGTCACCTCGGTGTTAACGTTGACGGAAAATGTGGATTTTTCGAGATGTACACTAATGCATGTGTGCATGTGCATTTATGTATGCACTCGCAACTGAGGTAATACAACTCAAAGCGCTGATAGGTGCCGCCAGACAAAGATTTTCTACATATTTCATCGATTTTTATTAAATTGTTGAATGAAAAGTTTAAGTTATAATAAGTTAGAATATTCATCCGGAAAGATGTTCGATCACCATGAAGGAAGAACAAGGGAGATAGGTATATTTTTTAGAGAAAAAGAAAATGAAAAACCGAATTGGCCATATTTTCGTTGATCAATACCTACTCGCATAAAAAAGCTAAAAATTGACAAAATTAAAAACTGGTTACCAATGGTTAAAATCCGAATGGAAATAATGAAATCGTAACTGAGAACTTGAGTCGTAACGATTTGCCATATTCAGATCTTTCAATGTTTTCTTAAATTAACCACACAGCGAAGGTGAACTTACAGAAACGCTCGTGCTATGACTGTGTACTTCAAAGTCTCTTTTCGGAGAGGATCCAGTGGATATTTTAGAAGAATTTTTTAAAGAATTATTCAAACGAATTAAACAAATTGAATTGAATTAATGAATAAAGTATAATTAATACATTACCTAAAAGAAAAAAAATTACAGACGTCATAAATTGTAAAAGAAATATTTATCTTGGACGCTTTCTATTCTCGAATGTAGAATTGGTCAAATTTGTCTCATACTGAGGTTTTATTTTTAATTTTTTTTTATCATTAATATTTTTCTCATTTTTTTCTTGCGCGTGAATGTTAAAATGATGAAGGTCTCATTAATTATATGCGTCAATCATGACCTAATTCCACTATCATTCTTTAAGCTTTCTGACTTCCAAAATTTTCATTTTTTCGCTCCAGTTATATAAGAGGAAATATCTATGGAGAATCCGAGTTCTACTGTTTTGAGCTTTTGCTATTAAGGACGAAGTTGGTATAAACATATAAAACCATTGCGTACGGATTCTTGAGTTGAGAATGGTGAAGCAAGTGGCCTCTAATTTCAATAAATCAAAACTTAAAGAAAATAAGTGCGAATGACACATGTCTCTTATCAGCAAGGTTAGGTTCACACGTATTTTTTTCAAGTTTTAATTATTATTGGAACCTGAAATAAAATCCAGAATTATGCACGATTGAACTGAATTTTACTGAAAAGAACCAATAGTCACATTTTAGGGGAGGTAAGTGAATCAGCAAAAAGTTTTGAGTTCAAACTACCACTGATTTTTACCTGTCAAAAATTTAAATTTATGTAGTTTTCCTTTTTACTTAATTTATTTTATTCTCTATTTATAGATTGTAATGTTCATAGTATTGTAAAATTAGCCAGGAAAAAAGGAATCGGTAAAAAAAAAAAAAAAAAAAAAAATAATCCAAGTCAAACAATAGTTTATTTTGAACGCAAAAAGGTGTTCAACTTAACCTTTAAAACTCTCTGACGGAGGAATAAAACTTCGAATCTCTTTTTCTCGGTTTGACTATGGCGTGACTTAATTGTTTCCTTCCTGTTAAACTCAGTTTAATGTGAGCATGAAGATGAAAATATTTACCCTTAGCTCAGGAAGCTGTTCCACATAGCGAGTTGGTATCCCGATAGTTCTTGGCTCATCGTGGGTCATTTGTTTTGGCACAATATCCGGGCACATGTCTCTGAACCTCTTAAATACTCTAAAAAAAGGAATATATATATATTCTTCTCAGATAAATTAAGTAAATGAACTAATAAGCGTCGGTAGATATTAGCTAGCTGAGATGACTCGCAAATTAATTTTCGTGGTTTAAATAATAATCAGTGATCGAACTCCACTTTAAAATTTTCGAACCCATTGGGTGAAGGAATAATTTTTAGGCATCATCCTGAATTTTCGCTAGATTCCTTCATATTTTCTAACATGTTTCCATGTGTTTTTCGATCACGCACTGAGAGATTAACACTTAATAGACTTTGTAGTTGTGTTCCTAATAAAGGTTTTAAAAAAAACAATCAAACAACACTGTTCTTTCTCAACTTGAAGCCATAATTAATAAATCATATTGGGTGAGACTGCCTGCCTCCAAACATCAAAATATGCCTGAACGCGAAAACACGTATCTTAATCGAAACGTTTTACAAAATCTGATTATGTTTTATTTCCTTCAAGGAGAACTAATCAAAATTTTTCATCGCCATTCTGTAAAGTTTTTTCTGAGTGAGTGAAGAAAATTTACAGAAAATTTCAACAGAAACTGTTGATTGATTTTTCTCTATAGAGCAGTATATCATGTGCCAGGATCAACGTCGTAATCTGAGATATGAATTTTTTAAATTTAGCCATCGATATAGCAATTGTTCAACTTAGATTTAAATGGACGAGTCCCAGTGTTGCCGATTTTTGAGAATCGCCACTGTATTGAACGAGAATGATATGGTGCCGAGTGTAAAAACTAAAAGTTGTTTAAAGTGCCAGTTATTTCCAGCCGTCCCATTTACAAACTAGACTGCAAGTAATGAAAATATACCAGAGTAGAAAAATGATGGTCGGAGAAAAAGTTACCTTAAAATTTCTTTCCGCGTGAAAAAGGTGCAATCCTGCAAAAAGAACCGACGGAAACATTGAATGGAGATAATTATGACTTTCAATCGAATTATTAGCGATGCATGCTCAACTTTTTCGCACAGTGTATTAAAGCAATAATGCAATCATGACATTGATAAATAAAGATATAGCGCAGAAAGCTTGATGATATATGCATAATTTTTTACAGCCACAGTCACAAAGGCCAAAATAACCAGCTAAATATACCGAGTTTGACAAAAACGCACATAGTTGTATTTTGAAAAAAAAAAAAAAAAAGTATAATATATTAAATCAGAAAATACCTGACGGGAAATGTAGCCATAATGAAGCGCTTTGCTGTATATGAAGTGATAAAACAACACAAAAAGGTATCATTGCTACATTTCCCGTCAGGTATTTTACGATTTAATATTATAACGGACTAATCCACTAAAAACTAATTATACCACAGTTGATTACTTACCTGGTAATTTTCGAGTTGTTGTTCAGTGAAAGTAATAACTTGATTTCCCATCTAGTGTATTCAAGTGAACAGTGAATTTATTTTCTCGTGAAGAGGTTTCTGGAATCGCGTAGGATACTGTGTCACCGCCGAAGAATAAAATAAAAGTAAGTATATAATATTAATGGAAAAATTGCAATACTCCTTGTTAGTGGCATCAAGCAAATACGTATGAAATAACAAATATCTGGTAATCCTTTATGGCTTAGACATTCAGTTTAAAAAAATTGTCTCACGTTGGCCATCGTCAGTCTACTCCACTCTTCATACATTAAATATTTTAGAATAACTTCAAAATTTCAGAGGTTTGTTCCAAAAGAAATTGTTCAAAAATTAAATCAGCGGGGAAAATTAGCGCTCTAATACGCATGGAACAAAATAACACGAAAAAAATTATAAAATGAAGCTAGCACATTTTCCTCCCTATGCCTGTATCAAGGTGGGAATAGATATATTTACCTACTGTTAATCATTAATAATAGATCATTCGTCCTGTCAAAATAAAATTTCAAGAGCTAGTTTGCGTGAAAACAAAATTAATCATAAATTATTTCAACAAACAACTCACCATTTTCCGAAGAAAAATAATGAGTGACTGACGAGCCCTACCGATTTTCTTGGGCAATTGCGTCACGTCCTCCCAGATAATATTTTTTCTCAAACGACTCAGGTAATTTGCCAAAAACTAATCGTTAGCAGAAGATTTGAGCGGACATAGAGCCATTTACACTATTTGACGCGTAGAGCTCTGAATTAATTCCAATGTTAAAAGTTGTAATAAACAAAGTTCTATGGCTATTTTCCAAAAAACCAAAAATCTCAATTGTGACGTTTTAAAGTTTCCTTACAAACCTAGATTTTTTTGCTGGCAATTTTCTCATCTCAAAGCCAAGCACTTGCCCATATTTTCGAGGCTGAAAATTTTCAAGCACTAATTTTTTCTCGCTCTACCGGTGAAAAATTAAATATTATCCCTTGCAGCACGATTAAGATCATTGGTTTTCTCTACTTCTTCTACTTCTTCGCCCTATACCTACCGATAATTTATACTCTAAAGATTTTAAACAAACATTCTGCCATGTTTGGGATAAGAAAAAAATAAAACACAAAAAACAAATCTTCACAAATCTGCATCTTCGTTTGAGATATTCCAATTCTTGTACTCATTTTAATGGCAGGATACCAAGCGATTTTAAAATATGAAATTTTGCATGATGCAGATTTGTTCATTTGGAACCACTCCCTAAAAATGACACACAACAATATTATGTTATGTTTTTAATGAATAAATTGAATAAAAACAAACACTTTGAAATCACATCCAAAATATATTAATTCCTGATTATTCACACACAATTTTTGAACCTAGGTACCGAGCGCATACATTCTGATTTAGTTTTAATATAATTTTAACCAGTTCGAAGTATATAGACCGTGAAACTCCCAAACCACGTGTCTTGGTTTGCAACGCTACAGAGCCCCTGTCATAATTTATTTTTTAAATGAACAACTACAACTTTTTAAAATTCTCCGATTTTTCTTCTCCGTGCGACTGAAGTTCTCTGTGAAAACTTCAAGGCATATCGTTGATTTTAAAAAAAAAAAATCATTAAAAAGGAGCGGAAACTTTTAATCGCTCAAATGTGCCATGAAAATTTCACCGTCGATATGTTTATCTGATTCCAATACATATGGATCATCCGTGAAAAGTGTAAGAAAAAAAATAGGTAATAATAATAATTACCTGGTTCGATCCACGGTGTTGGAGATCTTAGTCCCTTGCTGAGGTGTTGAAAATGTGAGATAGGGGTTGGTATGAACACGAACTTAACCACAGGAAAAATTACCTAGTTCCAGGGGTCCGCGGGCCGGCGTTGACCAAATGAGAAATTTCTGACGTGCGGCGGAAAATTAAGCCCATGGGTGCGGTCAACCCATTACTTAATTATTTTTTTTTCGCATGAAGCTTTCAACCCATGCTCCGCATTACACGTACACGCTATTAACATCTTTCAATTTGTTAGACGGAAGAACTTCCTACTGATAAATTGCTCTGGTATTTTGTCGGGCTCCTTCATCCGGATCTTTATTTCGCTCATTTTTTATACAAATCCCCCCCCCCTGCCCGTCTAGTCATTCAGATCTGAATAAATGGTAGAAAATCAAGGTATCGCTATGAGAATAGAAAGAACAGTGAAGAGGAAATTCTAGTCCCAAGAGAAGTATGAAAAAATGTGAAACTTACATGAAATGTTAGCATGATCAAAATTTTTGACGTGGAAGTGTTAAGTACTTGTTCTCCTTGCTTTCCTCTTTCTTCATCTTTTCTGCCTCTCTTCCTTCTTCCCTCCCTCTCTCTCTTCTTTCTTTCTTTTCTTTCCTTTTCTTTTTTTCCTTATTCTTCCCGTTTTCTTTCCCCAAAATTTTGCGCCCCTCGCATCTCTACACCCCCCGCCCGGTGGTGGCGGCAGGTATGGTAGTTACGCCACTCGGCCACTGGTATATGCTAGAACGTTCGAATTCGGAACGAAGTGGCGCTTAAAAATCGGAAGAGATGGATCATTCGGTGCGATCTGTGCGGGCCAGCCCTGTGCCCTCGCAGAAAGGGAAAGGGAGGGAAACAAGCGGGAAAACAGCTCGGAAGAAAGTCGGAAGCTCCGGCAGAACCCGCAGCACGAATTCCGTTTCGCCTGGTTCAAGGCCAAGTTTTCGGGGTCCGCCCCCCGCTCCTCCCCCGCCCCGTTGAGCGACGAGAATATTCAAGTCAATTAGACGAGTATTTTTTTAGCATCGCGTCCGAAAATACACTCGGCGACTCGAAAAATAGGCTGAGCCGCATCCCGCCGACCGCTCGCTGAAAATTTCAGCCTCAAATTCGGGACTCGTGGGAGTCGGGAAATCGCAGCTCGAGAAGCACCGCTGCCAAGTTTATGATAAAATAATTTACGTGTTTTATTTTCCACATTCTCAAGACTCGTGTAGAGTCCCTTAACAGTAAAGACAATGCGAATCCATTTCTAATTGGTTCCCGGATTTGAGGCCGTCACAGTGTCACAAACGGGAATAAAGATTACGTTTTCGCCAACTGCAAAGATTATACACCGGAATGGACCGGGGAATAGGGGGCACGGCAAGGAACAAATGGAATAAGAGAGGGAACGGAAATAAGAATTCAGAAAATGGGTTGATCAAAGATTACAAAAAACGCCCGACTTGTGTTTTCTTTATTCCCGTTATCCATAAGCCACGTTGTCTCAACTCTCTCTAAAAAGGAACTCTAGACGCGTGCTGCTTCCCTCGCGGCAGCGTTGACTTTTAAAACTGGACTTAAGAAACCCGTAAAAATTGATATAAAGTATGAGATAAGAAACGTTTTTTGTTCTTTTTAAAGTATAATTTAATTCCGTCGGTGACTCATATTGATCTAAATCACAATATAAATTGCAAAATATGCAACATTGTATGTTAACTTTAATGCAAACATTTTCTAAAATGCAGTGAATAAGGTGATAAAAACTTGTAAAAGAGCGGGGTTGCATTTTTACGTAGAAAAGAATAACAGGGGTATCCCTCTTGAAATATTTTTAAAGAAGGCGCCAGCGCTGAACGCGTACTAGCGCCTACAAGACTGCATGAATACTTCATGCATTGCGCGTGCGCACCATGATGAACGCGCAATGCGTGAAGTATCCTCCGTGGTGTACGCGTAACGTATGAAGTATTCTTGCAGTCTCGTAGGCGCTAATATAGATGTTGCGCTTGCCACACTGTGCTCGGCTCTAATATTTGAACTCGCGGAGTCGGCGATTTTCAAATCATGATTTTGTACACTCTGCATGGATTATTTTTGTTTAAAAAAGAAAGATTGTACCTTTCGGAATTTGTAAGGTTATTGGTTTTTATTTCAACAGCATATGTTACCATGATACTACTATTATTTAGTTCAGCTTTATTAAATCAAGATGTAATATCAACAAAACAACAGCAAACATGAACTTATGATAAAATTAAAATGTTAATTAGATATTATAATACAGGGTGGGGCAAAAGTCTGGAGACGGCTTGATATTTTTTGAACGGCTACAGTTAGAGAAACGAACTTTGTGGTAAGTTACTAGACCAAAAGAAACTATCTTTTGAGGGGGTCAACATTTACAACAATAACATTATACTTGTTAGCAATAAACAAACGACCCCCTTTCATAATTTGACCACCGATGTTGCAATGATTGAAAAGTGACAAAACAACCCCTTTGTTTGGTATAACGTCTACTGGACTGATGATTCAGTAATGGAAGTTTCTGATTTTTTTTTAAAATTTCCTTGAATTTTTTATATGTTATGCGCGTTGAAGAAAAAATAAAGCAATCCTTTGAATTGTGATAGAAATAATGTCTAACCGGCGGATGAGTAAATAATCGAGGTTTATAAAATAATAAAAAAATAATGTAATAAAAAAATAAAAAATCCGTTGATTTTAGGTGTTAAACCCATTAAAGGAAGAAAAAACCCCTTTGATCAGTAACAGGAACAATGTATATGCAATTGATGATCGAATCACCGAGGTCTTGTGGAGCTTACGTGGATTTTAGACGTTGCGCCTGTGGACGACGAAGTGGCAACCCCATGGGTGCCGAGACGGTGCCTAACCGGCGGATGAGTAAATAACCGAGGTTTAAAATAATAAAAAAATAAAAAATCCGTTGATTTTAGGTGTTAAACCCATCAAAGGAAGAAACAACCCCTTTGATCAGTAACAGGAACAATGTATATCCAACTCATGACCAAATCACCGAGGTTTTGCGGAGCTTACATGGATTTTAGACGTTACGCCTGTGGACGACGAAGTGGCAACCCCATGGGTGCCGAGACGGTGACGTCCCTTTCCGAGTTCGCACGGTGCAGTTCGCAAGCGGTCGCGCACGCACCGGCTCTTATCAACCGTTATCCGCGGCGGAATTAGGTCATGAGCAAATTAATGAAGTCTCTGAATTTGAAACAAAGGAGGGTATGCTCTATCTCGCTCCAAGGCTTAAGGTCAGAGTGAGCTTTATCACTTGACCACGGTCACAAATAAACAAGGAAAACCTCCACCTCACTTCCTCTTCATTTCCTACTAGACATTTCGCAAATTTATTATATTGCAAACTTCAGCTAGAGCGCAAAGAAGAGATTTTTCTTACTTCTTACAGCGAATGGCTCTGAAATAACGATGAGCACACCATAAAAGTCTGAGATACGCTCTAACTTCACAATCCCATGAACTTCGTATGAATTTCGTAAAAAATACATGATTTAGCAAGGGAAATTTGGCAACTCTCGAATGTTTATACGACGTTTTACACGGAGAATAAAACTTCGTGCGTGAGACCCGAAGTTGAGGTCATATGGATCTCTAAAGTTTTCGGATCACGTATCTAAAAACTTGAGGTCCAGCTGCCGAAGTTCGGGTCAGACATCTGAAGCACTTCGATTTATTCCGAAGGGTTCGGGTCACACATCTGAAGTACCCCGGTACATACCGAAGTGCCTCGATGTCTGACCCGAGCTTCTGCAGCTCGACCGCAAGTTTTCGGATGCGTGATTAGAAAACTTCAGAGATCCATATGACCTCAACTTCGGGTAGAAGTTTTTTCTCCGTGTACGCCGTATGAGCCTTCAGACGTTGCCAATATTTTATTCGACAAAAACTGAATTTACAGGGAAAATTGTGAAGATTTTCCCCCCAAAATTTTCAGACAATTTCGTACGTATGAGAGGGTGGCGACAGGGGGTTTCAGAAGAGATGAGGGAGTGTCAACTCCCTAGTGGATTATGGGAGGACCGAGTTTTTGTGACGGTTAGGTGTCGCAGAGCGCCAGAGAGCACTGTGAGAGTGACTCACTGTATGTATGAATTGTTTCCACTAAGTTTGTTCTCAAATTTTAATACCTAATTAGACTTCCTTTATAAAAAATTCGCACACACATGTTAGTCGCAATTGTTTGTTCGTGTGCCGAATTCATCAAGATGGCGAGATCCATTACTTCAACTCTCCTTTTCTCTTGATAGTTTTCAAGTTTTCGAAGCACCTACGCACTATTTCGTTTAAACGAGATCTAACGGCGGTAAGAGCAAATTAAGATCCGTGAGGAATTCACCGCAAACCAAAATTATTAGCTGGAAGACTCAAACTTCCAAAAACAAGACTCGATGAATTTGTTCTAACGACAGGCGAGAACAACAACACGAGCAATCTTTTGAAACTATCTTCTTTACATCCTTAATGGGGGGAAAAAAAACACTGCACGAGGGATAAAAAATAGCTGATCATTAGCGCCAAATCGTCACCAAAATAACATATTTTCCACCAAATGGCTCAGACTATACATATAGTTTGGTGACTTTTCGCGATCAACTTGGCGGCACAGGGGCTATTATGACTGGTATTATGACGTGACTACCGTTTGGATGTACTACGTCATAGATCATAATAGATCTAGCTCTACGGATTAGATTATATCATTACCAATGCTGAATTATATTGTTATGGCGGAGATGATCTTCAGAATTAATGCAGTCAGAATTCTATTCACTATTTATCTAATAATACCATGCTTTCGGGCGTACTGATTTAAATAAAATCCAGTCAGTAGTTCATCCATTTTAATGATATTGAAAAGTCTCGAGAATTGACAAGAAAATACATTTGAAAGAATTGATTATAGAATTCATAACTGCCGGGCATAAAATTGAGTTTTTTCGGGCCAAATTTATACCGGGACAAAACTCGTAACATGTTTTGTTTAAGATCCCTGAATCTCTGTATCTTTGAAATCTCCCAAAAATATCACTTACCTCTCTCTTTTAAGCTCAATACAGAAAATTCGAGGGTACACGCACTTCAGCTTCCTTCCATAGAGGCTGAAGCATATTTTACTTGGTGTTAACTCAACAGTAACAGTTTTAAGACAGATTTCTCGTTCAAAATTATGAA